CGATATGTTATACTTACATATACATATATATGTATGTATAAAGAATATTAAGGCCATTAAAATGCATTTAAAATTTAGCAGGGAAATTAAATTATTAGAAGAACTGCTGTTATGTTAAATATGTATGTATGTATGTATGTATGTATGAATGTAATAGAGGTCTGCACTGATTCTCCTTAAACCACTCACCTCACGTTCATTTAAAAAAAAAAACACTCCCATTTCATGTACCTGAATACTGTTATATGAAAATGCTCTATGTTAAGTTTGCTTATTGAGCTGCTCTAGGTTGCGCTAGGTTACTCTATCTCACAAAATTATATTTCATGACACTTTTTTTTGCTCTTACTTGCTCTACTCTATGTTTCATGAGTCTGCTCTAAGCATAAATAGAGCAACTCAGATCATGATTTTCTGCGGCGATTTTTTTGGTAGAGTAACTTGGAGCAAGCAATAATATTTTTTTTTTGACAGAAAACGGTTAGACAACGCAAGCGGGCAAAATATAAGAAAGGTATGCTCACGGGCCACTATAAACAACTTAAATACAAGTGACGATAAAAATAATAAATTTTATTATGTAATATATGAAAAAATTGTAAAAATTTTCTATTTTGTTTACAACAGAAAAATCAAACTCCACATTTGAAAATTGTTGCCCGAAAAACGTTTCATGAGCTTTTTGTTCCGAGTTGCTCGAACTTACTCTATTCAGCTGTTCTGCTTTAACTTGAGATGTTCTACTCTATTTTCAGTCTCAATAAGCAAACCTATTACATTATATGTATGTACATACGTATGTGTTTTGCTAATGCGATATTCATTCATCGAGTTTCATGTGAAGTTTCTATTGCAAAAGGAATTTTTTTGTTAAATAGTTGTAAGCTGTTTGATTAATTTGAACGCAAAAAAGAAAAGAAAAAATCGTTCGTCAAATCACTAACTATTCATGTATATGTACAGTCGCGTCAAAAGAAAGTGTACACTTTTTTCTCATACTCTTTACACACTTTATTTCGGTGTAAAAAAATTTAAATTTTTAAAATCAATTATTATTTACAAATGATTAAATATTGTTCTTACAAGGAATTAACAACAATCCAAACCAAATTTTACAACAACACAAATAACACAAACAAAACCGAATTAATATATTTTACGCGCCAAAAGAAAGTGTATCAGTTTGGGAATAATTAAGAAATTCATGAGCTAATACTTTGTCTGTCTTCTCTTTGCACTGATAACTGCTTCCCACCTCCTTGGCAGTGATTCCACTAAATTGGACACTACATTCGGCGAAATTTTAGATCACTCCTCTAGTAAAATTTCTTTCAGGGTATTCTTGCTGCTTATATATAAAAAGAGTTGATGGTTTATACACAGTAGAGACGAAATACGGAATAATTCACACCCGTTTTTAGGAATCAGATACAAGCATAAAAGAAAAAAAATTTTCATTCCGAATAGGTGCCCAACGTTCAGCTGACTCTAAGAAAAATCATTTCGAAGGATCAATTCGAAGTTACATAAAATACAACTGTAATGAAGTAAAAATGCCATAATACTTCATCTTGTCAGAATACAGACTAATATTTTTTAAAATGACTGTCATCACTATTTAAAACATGAATCAAAATTACATTCTTCTGCCTGGTGAAACCCTGATTTATGGAAATTAAGTTTCGGCGTTTGACCGCCCAAATAAGTTGCTCCTGAACTAGACGAAAATTCGTGAGTAAAAGCCAGAAAAACGTCATTTATTTGGTCTGAGACAAAGCCTTTATGTCAGACCTAAGGTCTAACTAGCCATAGCTGGGAGTGTCATAGCTTCGATATTTGACTATATATAAGCATTATAAAAACTCCGGGTTGTTCCGGCATAAAGTCCCGACCTTCGCGGGAACTATTGGATTTTAATCGCCTCTTACGACAGTCATGCCTTACCGCGAGTAAATTGTTACTCCTCTATCTTTGTGTTAGCATACAGACATACATAAATGTAAAAATATTCACATTGCAGCAGAATACATTTCAACGCAGACCTCTGATATAAAGTGAGAAAATAATTATAAATTTTTTTTTTTTACTTCTGTCAGTGTGAGCTGCAGTTTGTATGCATTGTTATGTACGTACATGTGGACATATGTATATATGGGTGTACCTAACTGGGGACACAGTTTCTCTTAGAGAACTCACGCATCCAATGAGCATTTAACGGATTTATTATTAATGTTTTTATTGTAATATTTATTGTTTTGCTTTTCCTTAATTCACTAAATTCTTAATATAAATATATTTACAATATATTATTGTTTGAGAACATCTTGCTCACAATTACTATATACATATGTATGGATGTATATATTAGTTTAATGCATATCTACGATTTCTGGAATATTATCTATTGAAGCAAAAGTACAAATTAAATTTTGCTACCGAATTAAAAATTAATTAATTTTTGTAATTTGTATGTATGTATATGTACATTTGTTGTTGTTATAGCGGCTACGTCAACCCCGCTTAGGTGCAGGCGTAGAAATTTATCTAAGTCAGCGATGTCATCTAACGTGAGGTCCAGAAAATGTGCTGTTTCACTGGGATAGAATCAGAGGTAGAGAGGGTTAGATGTCTCGGCTTAAGGGGGCGTGTGAAGAAGTGGTTAGTATCGTGCGGAGACTCTCCACATGCTGGGCATACGTTGGATATGTTGGGGTCGAGTCTGAATAGGTAGGAGTTTAACCTGACCTAAGTTGTGCCAGTTCCACACGAGGCAGCTCGAGCTCGTTGTCAGCTATAGTTGGTACTTTCTACTACTTAACTGTTATTTAGTTGTTCTTATTTAACACTGTTAATGTCAAAAATTAGTTGAAAGATTCCTCTGTTTTGCATTTTTTCTTCAAGAAACGATCACGGTATTCCCCTTTTTTTGCTTTTAGCTGCTACGAAGTACGAATATGTGGACTCTTTCAGTGGCTTTTAAAAATTCATGCGTGTGTTACCAACAAAGTTACCCATTTCAAAATCAAACTCAGATATTAATGATAGTTCGGAAAACAGTGAAACAAGTTCATCTGAAATTTATAGCGAATGTGAATCCGTCTTCTTTAAGATATCTCTTTTGTAGCCTTTTGAGAATTACGGCTGGAGATATTATCTCCACATGTCCAGAACCAATTCGATTTGCAGTATCCAGATGCAATGACATCCTGTTAGTTTTCTAGTTTTGACATGGAGAGTACTAAGAAGTACAGTAGAATCAAGCGTGTTGACAAATGGCGCGGCTGAAGTTTTTAGTCAAAAGGAAATGCATAGTAGCGATTACTCGTATTCGTGAACAGAGGAACCGTTCGCAAGAGCTACTTCAAATGTTTTACAACGGTCACGAAAATGTGACAATTTTAGAGCAACTTGTTGTATTCAGAAGGCTTAGTTCTTTTCAACAGTTAATGCCATCGAAACCAGTTTGAAGTTTTCTATATTGGAGGACTCAAAGTCGGGTTACGTATGTGAGAAACAACCACAACTTCGTTAACCCAGAAATTCAAAGACTTAAAAGTACCAAGCAGAACGCATTGGATTGGATTCGATCGAAGGCTTGAAAGAGCAAAAATATCAAGTAACAATTTTTTTCCCCACATTTGAGTTGGTAAAAATCTTCATGAAGTAAAAGATATATTCGAAAAAATATAACTTTCATTCTTTCGAGATTGCAGACTGTCAAAAAATTCAATACGAAATGCCATGCACATGACGGCAGTACTTAGTGAGAGTTGATCGAAGAGAAAATCAGGGAACATTTGAATGTACAATTCAACTATCTTTTCACTTATAAATCCTTATGTCTCATATTGTTTTTAGTTGGCTGATTCAGCTGATTAAATGCTGATATCTCCAGCTAATGAAAATCGTAAGAGACCAGCGTTATTGCGGCAGCTAGCACTATGGGTAAGGTGCATATGATGAATGAGACTAGATTACCTCTCCAAGAGTTCTCAGCACAGTTATTGACAAAAATATGAGGGAGCTTTTCAAGTAATCTTCCTTCTAGTTCAGGGGCTCGAAAGCGTGGATTTCGTGATTGCTGCTAGTCTAATCTGATTTAAAATGCTCCATTTGCAGCAAGTAAAGTTACCGAAAAACATTTTCCTCATTTCGCAATGAATAATATTAAATACTTTTTTTTTAATTTATATTAAGAAAATCGAAAAATATGCTATGGACCAAATAGTCTCTTAACCACAGATTTGTAATTTTTCGTTGTTTTTTGTTTAATAAAAATGCCAAGCTGAAAAACTAATTCAGTACGTAATACCGTTCAAAAGTTATTAAGGAAGCAAACCGGAATTCGGACCAAATGATCAAAGCCTAACAGCAGATTTAAATTAAGAGCTCGGCCCACAGGGCAATTGTGTTGTGGATAGATTTTAACCTTACCCCTCTACAGAAATCCTTAAGACTTCCCAAGTGCATACGTTTCCACGCCACCTATGGGGTAGTGCATACAGAAATGCAGTCCCAGCTAACTTTCGAATGGTTTTTCTCAGATCAGTAAATCTTGGAGAACAAAGTATTTGGAAAATTTTCTACAATTTTCTCTGAGCTAGTTTTTTTTCGAAAAGCTGACCGTTTAGATTTGCGCAGACGAGATACAGGATTTCATCAGAGTGGCAGATAAGCCTTACGATTCTGTAAATTGTCAGCTTTTGGTGAGTAATGTGGGGTGATACAGACAGATGGCATTATAAACATATTAAAGTCAGATATTTAGAATTGGTTATTTGAAAGGTGGAAAGGCGCAGTAGCCGCAGGACTTTTAATATAATTGCTAACTTCGATTTGTAGTTGAGGAGTTACCGCTACAATTTGAAATACGGATATATTTCATTTATATTTTTATCAAAAAATCATATTATTGTATTAGCTTAAATGCCTTTAAGGTTTTTAATTTTAACAAATAAACCGGTTTTTTTATACATTTAAACTAAATAACATCCTTTGGAAAGTTGAAAACGATAAAATTTATTGTGGTAACAAAAGCTTTCTGCTGTAATAATTTTCAGAATTTAATAAGAAAATCTCATTTTAAGCACAAGTAAAGATTTTTAAGTTCAAACATGCATCTTGGCCAGCTAATATATATTGGTTAAACTGAAACAAATATATACATATGTATGTACAAACACCGGAAATTTAAGCAAAAACTCAAATTGAAGCACTTCGGTATTACAACCACAACACTGTACAATAAAACAATTATAAAACTCACTAGATCACGTCTTTTACCTACACGTATGTATCTTAAGTGAACTAACTTAATTGGTAGTACTCAGGGGCAAAATCGTTTGCCAGATTACTGAGAAAATTAAAATCAGAAGAGCTGTTTGAATTTTCCATACCGGTGAGATTGGTGCCCGCCACTGAGCCGGGTCCTCCATTGCCCGCCATTGGATATGCCGGAGCATTTGGTGTCGAACCGCCGTTCATCACAAAATTACTGCCGCCGTTGGTCATATGATTGCCCGTTGGTAGATGATGTGAGTGTGGGTGTGGGTGTGGATGTGGGAGGTGATGATGAGCGTGGTGCGGTGGCATGGTCGGTTGCGGTTGCAGCTGTGGTTGGCCATTTTCATAGTAATTGCCAAAATTACCATAACTACCGTCACAGTTTTCCATTTGTACACCCAGAGCGCTGGCATTTGGCGGCATATATACATCTGTCGGCGGCACAGACGGCGAAGCAGGGCCACCAATCTTTATAAGCGGCGAACTGTCCACTATGTATTCAGCGGATATACTGCCAATGTGGTTTTGTTGTTGTTGCTGCTGCTGCTGCTGAAGTTGTTGAGCATCGTGCGTCGCTTGATGGTGGTGGAAACCAGCATGAATTTGTTGTTCATGTTGGTGTGGCTGGAAGTTCAAATGGTCATAATACGGCGTGGTTTGTGACTTGGGTTCATAGTAGTGATTTGCAGCTGTCAGAGATGTCGCTTCGAATTCGCCGGCGTGAGTGCTCGGATGCATATAAACACCACCATTGTCTACGCTGTGGTGATTATAGTTCATGTACTGCCCAGCGACACCTGGTGGCATTGGTTCGCCACCATGATTGTAGAAAGTTTGCTGCTGCGGTGGTGGATGCGGCTGATGGTGAGTTTGTGGGACTTGGAATGCATTAGTGGTTGCTGACTTGGAAAGCTGAAACTCGGATTGAAGTTTTGCATTATGTACCTCGGTTGAAATTTTACTCATGAAATCCGGCTTGGTGCTCTGATATTCACCACTAGCCTGGTGCTGAAGTTGATTGGCGTTCGGCATTTGCTGAAGCTTATGCTGCGATGGCATTGTTAACGGTAATTGCGTTCCATGTTGAGGTGAACCGGATGCGGCAAATTCAATGTCATATTTGCCGTAATAGTCGTGTGGTGATTGCGTTTGCGTCAACGCTAACTGAGGCTGCGACGGCGGCTGCATATGCGATTGTTGGGTGTGGTGTGTGTGATGGCGTTGCTCATGTTGGCTATGTTTCGGATAATAACCACCATGAAAATACGCAGTCATGCCAGCACGGCCGCTACCTTCGTTAACGTTTGCCGCATTTGCATTGTTGCCGCTTCGAAATCGTTTCGTTCGTGTGCCCACTTCGCTGTTAGAACCACAGTTCGAATTCGCCGACGTTTGATTGTTGTGAGAAGAGAGTTCCGAGTTCCGACGAAAACCACCACTACTAGACAACATGGCAGCGGTGTTGGCAGCAGCAGAGTTGCTTCCACTCTTGCCAACATTTCCAATTGGCGAATCATAGGGGAATGGTGACGCTTTGGTGGACGTTGATACTGCCTCATTCTTCACAATCTATATAACGCATAATTAATAAATTTGCTATGTAACAGTATTTTATTCAACTCACTTGATTATCATCTTTCTTCTTTACTTTAGCGGGGCTATCGTCCATATCTTCGTCCAGACTCACGCTGGAAGCCACACTGGAATCGGCACTAATCATATTAGAGGCGGAAACAGTAGAGCTGCCGAGCAGATTTGACGAAATCCCCGATTCCAGCGTCGAGTTGGGCGTCACTGCAAGCGATATGCCGTAAAGAAACATTTCATTTTGATTTTTTCAATTTTATTTCGAAAGCGATAACTTACAACTTCCCGCACTCGCATTATTGTTGGTCGCGCTGGGTGTATTATTGTTGTGACCCCGTGAATTCGATGTAGAATCTGGTATATCATCCGATGGCAGTTCACATCCTTGACATGATTTCTTTGAATTGGAGTCTGCAGGGGAAGAGATAGAGAATAAAATATTATTTAAGGAAAAAAATAAAAAAAAAAATGATGGGAAATTCAAGTAAAAAATTATGATCATAAATAGATTAACTTCATTAACAGAAAACATGATAACTGAAATTTGTATACATATGTACGTATGTATGTGTATATATACAGGGTGCATCATCTGCCGCTATAGTATTTGAGCATTTTTTTAGTTTTTTTTTGCCATGAATCAAGTAAACATGCAAACATGCTCCATGATTTTGGTGAGGTCCAGTGAATGTTAATTCACATTAAATGACGTGGTTAATAGTCCGACGGCTTGTGCCGACGAAAATCCTTGTGATATATTCGAGGAACCGCTGCATGAGCAAAAAGTGACCATTTGTTGCGCCATATCAGCCAAAAAGATCTTCGTGCCGTATTTTTTCGAGAACGAGACTGGCAACGCCGTTACGTGCGACACAGCACAAAGCGACTCGCATCAAATCGAAAAACAGCGTTTGCAACTGGCGGCTGCGCTAACCCGATTTGATGCCGCCGGACTTCCTTTTGTGGGGTATTTGAAGAGCAAAGTTTACATCGACAAGCCGCTGCCATAGCTCGGCTCAAAGCCCATATTCGCCGGCATATAAAGCCCATTACCACCGAGACGCTAGAAAATTAGATGCAAAATGCACAAAAAATAAAGGTGGTCATTTGTTGGATATTATAAAATATTCAAAACATGATGTAAATAAAAAAAAAGTATGAACCAAAGAAAATATGTTTAAAAAAGTGATTTCAATTGAAAGTTATTCAAATTGCAAATGCTATAGCAACAGATGGCGCACTCTGTTTATGTGAAATTGTGAAAATGAAGGAAATTGTTGGAATTGAAGAAAAGCGAGATCAGTTGGAAAAATACAAGCTAAATTACAATTTCCTTTGACAGGTGCCACGTTTGCTTGCGCAAGATACCCAAGCGCAATGTCAGCACTTTGGCGGATGTCGTGTAGTCCCATTTACCAGTGGGATATCGGGTGGTTAAGGATATGTAGTCATGTATTTGTGAGGAGAGAGCTGCTGCCAAATCCTCAGCATTTGTTAGCTCCGAATTTTTGGCGTTTCTTCATATGTACGAGGGTTTTTAACAAAGGTTCGGTAAGTTGACCAGAAAAAAAAAATTTGTAATTATTTATAAACTTTGTCCTTTTTATCTTCTCTACATAATCGTCATTGATTTCAATGCATTTCTTAAGCCTACTTCTGAAAACAGTCTTCAAAATTTTGCTTTTTATACTCATCAAGCTCAGTATTAAACGCGTTAATTATCTCCTCGTTGCTATTAAAGACCTCTTTGTTTTTAAATTTTTTTTATTTTGAAAATAAACAGAGATCGCAAGGTGCTATATCCGGGGAATATGTTGCTGGACCCATTTCTTCGATCCCAGAGATTTCAACAATGAGAGATGGCGCGTTGTTATGATGTAAAAAGTAGCGCCGCAAATCCTCTTTCTTCCTGTTTTCCAACAAATTTTTGAAAACTTTTGGTAAGCATTCTTCGGGGTACGATTTTGCTGTTACCGTCTGACCATTTTCCAGTGGAAAAGCAGCCACAATTTTAGTTCGGGTGAAGTAAACTGACATCATTACTTTTGCTGCTGTTTTTTGTTGCTTATATTTTACGGGTGGGTTTCCTCCGGTCGTGCAACTTACCTTAGACTGCTGTTTGGTTTCTGGATCGTGCTTGTAAGACCAAGATTCGTCACCAGTACCGACTATACTAAAGTTGCTAGACTGATCATTTTCGAATTTGTTTAGGAAAAAATTGAGGAAAATGCACTCCGGGCTCAATTAAAACTCGTGGTTCCTATATAAGAAGGTTTCTTCGTTTATCCCAGATGATTGCCCAATATTCGCGATACAGCCATGTCATTCAAGTCGAATTCAGTAGCAATCATTTCTTGCGCCAATCGTGGGTCTTCGTCAATTTTGTATGTCACCAGAGCAACAGTGACGTCATCAGCGGAAGATTTTGTTCCACCTTCTCGGGGCTCGTTTTCTACGGAAAAATGTTTGGTCTTGAATCTTCGCAACCACTTATAAATAGTCTTTAAAAACGGTGTAATCACTGAATATTTGTATTGGCTGTAAATTACGCCGGAAACCGAAGAGTCGCATGGTGAATTTCTTTTTACGTTGGTGGTGGAATTTCGTTTGACCTATCCTCAGCTATCTTGTCTTTTCTCGTCTCCATTTTGGTCAATCTTTCTAAAATTTGAATGGAAGCCTAATTGCAAAAGGATTTGGTATTTTTAGATTTAACAAAAACGAATTGAAAGTCATCAACTGACCGAACTTTTGTTAATCCCCCCGTTTGTATATACTCGTACGTAGATAAGCGTGTCGTAAAAATTGAAGTTACATAAATAAATATAATGTTTTATCGAAAAAGGGTTGCGGAAACGCGGAGACTACACCATGGAAATGAAAACTATGAGGGAATGTAGCATAAGTACGAAGTTATCAAAGACAAAAGAAATAAAACGCAAAGTTAGTGACATTGATTGATAAGATACACTGTTATTTCGCTGATTTTGTCGCAAGTTGTTGAAATTTGTCATAAGCGAAAAGGAAACTCAGGTTTAATGCAACACTTTAGTGTTCCGAATATTTTTACGGGTGGCTGAGTGAATTTAGATGTCAGATGTACTCTACGATTTTTTTTTTCTTATATATTATAATTATCTGTATATTAGGGTGTATGAGCATAACATGGAATACATATATTTTCCGTTTCTAATTTTGTATAGCTAACTAATCATAAGGCATATAGGTAATCTTATTTTAGTAGAGAATTGAGCACTTTAGCAAAAGAGCTCATCTTACCTTTTTTTTCTTTATGAATCAGTTTTTTCGTGACTTGGAAGAAAGGGTGGTTTTTTAGCTATTATCTTTTTGGCAACACTGGCTTAAACAGCTGAAACACGTTTCGAGTTAAGCTCGAGCTAATCGCCGTTAGACTTTCAACGGTTCGTAAAGTTACTTCATCCTCTCACCTGATCCTCTTAAAAGCAGTTACAAATCTCAAAAAGAAAATGAAGTCGTGTTTAAGAAGTTTATGGCAATTCAGAAGCGTTAATGATGAAGTTGATTTAGATTGGTAGAGCAAATTGAAGATTTTGATTTTTATGTTTTCGGAGACATTTTTGAATTTTCTTGAACTGGTCCATTTTTAAAAAGTTTAACTAGCAAGACACTTACTTTCAAATATGAAAAATACTATAGGGAAAAATATTGTAAAGAAAGGTTGCCACTCACCCGCAGTTCATATGGACGGATCGAAAAACTTAAACGCTTAATGATAGGAACAGCAAGTAAACACCAAAGTTTCAAAAATGTGTAAAGGTTTACTACTGATCATCACGCTTAGAAGAAAAGCTTGGATGTGGTTTCATAAAAGAAGATTATAAAAACCTTTTGGTAATTATGAATGCAAACGAACCAGTAAAGGAACCACTAGTTGACATCATATTTATAATATTGAGTTATGTTATTTGAATTGATAACTGCCTTTTTTCTGAACTTAAGTTACTTTTTCGACTTTTTTGAGTCTAAGCACAATGAAAATATATCTAAACATAAAAAAATAACGACTATTCATTAATTAGTGTTTTATTTCTCTCAAATATCTCATAGGTCTTTTCAGATACGAGCGACCGCTTGAGGGTTAATGGTGTATCTTCCTCATTCCTTTGAAATAAACCTCCGATCATTTGTCTAAAAAAAATGCATTTTTCTTTGAATATCAAAAAAACACCTCTTATTGGACAAACCTGTATTAAGGGGCTGCATAGGTCTTGAAAGCCAAAACATTGCTAATTTTCATTAATTCTTTTAAAAGATAATAAATAAAGTATACAATTTATTTTGTTTACATATAAGAGTACAATATGTGTACAACATTTAATAAAACTTTGAATGAAAAATTTTAATAAGTTAAGGCGTAGGCAGTGTCGTGAAGTAGACGGAGCGTGCTTTCGCGGTAGTCATGATAACTTTTTCAAATTTTATCTGTACCGAAAACTCCAATTTTTTTCTTAAAGCAGGTGAATTTTCCTTGTCACTAGCCGTAGAAAAATTAAAATAAACTAAAAATTCAATTTTTTGTGGCATTTTTTGCAAAAAACCGTAATTTTTTGCCTGAAATTAGGCCACATATTTGTTTGTAAAATGAGTTGAAATCAGATATAAAATAAATCCTTCGTTCAGGGACTACATAACATTCTTAAAAGAGGTGTGGAAAATTTGAACTCGATCGCTTCAATACGTTTAAAGTTTCGCCATCGGTCAAGTCATGACGAAGACGGCGGATTATAAAACTCTCTAATTTCTACAGTTTCATCGCGATCGACTTGAAACTTGGGGAAAATACTCCTGACACTTTGTACTTTTATGCAAACAATTACCAAAAAAATTTATTTTTTGAAGTTTCAAGACCTATGTAACCCCATAAATAGTTGACAATTATTCTTATGAAAAAGCAAGAATACCAATTCTTAAATAATCTTTTGATTATAAACACTCAATAGTTAGGAGTTTCACTTAATTTCTTCCAAAAATGTCATGATATTTCAACGAAATCAACGAAAGTCGACTAAAACTATATTTATTAAATTCATTTTAATATGCCTTTTAATGTATACTAGTTGTGACCTTTTAAGGTCATTAACATACATTTTAACCATTGCTTGTCATTGAAAGCGCTTAAAATCATAAAATACTTCTGAGAGAGTGCAAGAGAAAAAGAGATCTGCGACGCCACAATTGTCCTATAAAACTTCGAATAAGAATTATAGATGGATTTCGATAAAGATAGCAATTACCTCTCTCAATAGCGATTATTCTAAGAAAATATAAAATTTAAGCACTTACTACTATCAGACTGATCATCATCACCTTTTAGACTGTCTTTGTTGTCTTCATCATCGGTCTTGGACAGAGTTTGTCGCTTATGTTTCATTCGTCGATTTTGAAACCACACCTTGACCTAAAAGAAAAAAAATGCCATCGAGAGCATTATAATTATAGCGATTTTAAAAATTTTTCAAAACCAATGAAAAGAAAACAAATGCTCACTTGTCGCTCAGTCAGATCCAAGCTCGCTGCAATCTCGATGCGCCGTGGCCGACATAAATACTTGTTGAAATGGAATTCCTTTTCGAGCTCTAATAATTGTGTATTGGTGTAGGCAGTACGCAATCGTCGGGGGAGACCGTTTTCTGGAACGAATTCAGCTGCAATTGAAAATTGCATTGTCTTCATATTTGAGTAAATGTGATTTTGATGGGAGTGTAGGTGTATGTATACATATATGTATGTATGTATGTATGTATGTATGCAGACAATACTGTCTAATATATGCTTCTGTGAGCAGCTCTCGCATACATACATATTTACATAGATATTGTTCTATTTTGCATTCGTTTTGGGCAAACTTAACAAGTCCAGGGTATAGTTAAGGCGAAGGTAGGCTTTAAACTAATTCATGTTTTTAATTAAATTAATGTAAGCAAGCACAACACAAAATTTCTGCTATTCCATTCATCTTTAATTTTTTTTTTCAGAAATTCGTTGAGCTAAATAAAGATTTGTTTACTTTACAATACTATCATAACCCCCAATATGTGTATTGCCACAAATGAAGTTGTTAAGTAAGTTGTAAGTTATGCCCAACTCCCAAAGTAAAGTAATTAACAAAATCCAAATCAATCACTCAGAAAATGCCAAATAAGTGGCAAGCTCCGGCGCACAGTGTAGCCGTTCCATATATGCTGCGTCTAAAAATAGTTCACGTGCGCCACTTTTGCTATAATTTGGTGTGGGTCCTTTATTTATTTTAGAAAAATGCAATAAGAAATATTATAGAAATTGGACAGCCACCAATCGCACGCCCCATTCGCTAGCTGACGGTGCAATAAAAAGCGCTTCGATTTTCCTTAAATTTGGTACTTTAAAATATGAAATTTTGCAGAGATGTCATTAAATAAATAATTAAAAAAAAACTCAATGAAATGATTTTTTTTCGTTTCGGCGCAAGTTATTGAAGCGAAATGAAACAGTTAATGCTGAAACCGCACAAACTCCGCGATAATGTTAATTTTAAAATAACAGCCTGCTATGTTATTAACAGCACACTACAATTTTAACATTTAACATTACCTGTTAGCGATTTAACATTAACGACAGCTTTTCGTTTCGGTTGAAAACGAAATAAAATTTAGATGCTTTTTCAAGTCATTTTTCCGTGAAACTGTTTTTGGGTTTTTTAAGGAACTGCTTCAGACCATCTATATTTTTTGGAAATAGTGAAAAAATTACAACAATAGTTTTGGACGGTATAAGTTATAGCTGCTATTTCGGAAACCAACACGTTTCTTCACCAGACTTCTTTTTCCAGACACCTTTGTTCGAATAGGATTCGAACTTGATAACTACTTAAATGAAAACATTTCCAAATGATTGAACCGAAACGACTGAGATTTTTTGCTTAATGGATTTAAGGCCTCTGCTAGGTGAATGAAATGTCAAACGTTTCGATCGAAAGTGAGTTAATAGCTGATTTTTGTTCATTGTTCATTTTATTTTGCATTTATACAATTTTAAGATTTGGAAGTGCAGTTTATTGTTACACGAACAAACGCTTCTGCAACGGGCCTTTATGAATGTTTGTATTTTCACTTTTGCTTGTTTGTTTCCACAAATTAATTATTTTGCGCAATCAGCTGATAGCTGCCAACAATGTTTACGAGAAGAGCGAAATCAAATGTTTAATGACGAAGTTGGTTCAATTTTGTGGGTTGCCGAAGATTTTAAAATAAATTTTCATAATTTCATCTATAAAACAACTTAACATTTTGACTATACAATTCTAAAACCTTGGATTAATATTTTATTTTAGAATTTATAATAATCACAATTAAAACGTTCTGAATAGTTTGATGTTGAACAAGTGAATTTTAATTTCCAAAAAATTTTATATTATAAAATATAATATTATTTTTTTAGCAAAAAATTTCTACACCTAGCAACTGTAACTTTTATGTCATGTAATACGAATGGCATGAGAAGATAATGTCAAAAACGTTAAAAATTATCACAATTCCATTATTATAAAATGTTTAATATAAAAAGATTTTTTCGCAAATTTTCTTTATCTGCTTTTAGGAATCAAGTGATGCTTATCATGTAAAAAAATCGTGTTAAAAATTCGAAGTGGTGAAAAAGTGTGCGGTGGTTTATCGTTGACAAAAATAAAAAAAAAATTACTTACACGTATGTGAGTGATTCATAGTGTTGCGAAAATGCGAGGCGAATGTCAGATGAAAGAGAGAAGCCGATAACTAGTACATTCTAAATGAGAACCTTCGATAGCGAACAACTCGATGCTTCTACGCTTTCGTCTGCGAGCAGCCGACTGCTATATAAGGGCGACGCTCAGCTGCCAAGTCAAGTTAGTTACAAAGTGAACTCGTTGTCGAGAACATCAGTGTAGAGTCGTAAAGTAAACGCGTTGGAGATTACATTTAAGTAAAGTAAATTGTGAAAGTCTATGCAAGTGATTGAAGCTAGTAAAGTGCATTGTAATTGAATGGTAAATTACTGAGTAAATAAAGGACATTAGATAAATTCGTTAAAACGAAAGAAACTGCAAATTAAGTTGGCGAGTTTTTATTTAACAATCCAGAGATCGTACTCGAAGGATTCAGGAAATAATTGAGGTTGATTTTTTATTTAATATTTATTATTTATTTATTAATATTTTCAGAAAAATTAAAGCCAAGATACGATATTAATCTAGTAGATTCGTTAACCATTTTATGAGTTTTGGGTGTTTTTAAACTGAAAACTTGAAATTTTGGTGTGAAGTAAATCGGATAGTTAAATTTTAATATAATATAGCATTTGCATATTTCAAAACAAAATAATTCGTCCGATTTCCTAAGAGAGGGCTCTACTAGTATTATCTCGCGTCGAGTTCATCTGTGGCTATATTCATTTCAAAGGTACTGTCATCTCGCGTCGTTTTCAGTAGATGTCATTTGTTTTAGCTTGAACAACAATTTGTTTCATTCATTTGAAAATGTCGAAATTTGTACCAGATAAAGTGTTTTTGCAGGGAGTTCTTCTTCTTTACTTTAACATGAAGAAGTATTTTACTGGACGAAAGTGCCAAAAGTGGTTTGCACGGTTTAAAAGTGGCAATCTCGACTTAGACGACGGACAGGCAAACAAATTTCAAGACGATGAATTGGAGACATTATTCGACGCAGATGCATGCCAGATGCAAGAAGAACTTGCAAAAGTATTAGGAGTTGATCAAGCAACCGTTTCCCGACGACTAAAATCATTAGAATTCATCCAGAATCATGGAAATTGGGTGCCTTACGAATTAAAGCCAAGAGACGTCGAACGTCGATTCTGCATGTCGGAAATGTTGATTCAACGCCACCAAAAGAAGTCAGGATTGTCACTGGCGATGAAAAATGGATTCATTATAATAACCCAAAGTGCAAGAGATCGTATGTTAAGCGCGGACAACCATCGACATCCACGGCAAGGCCGAATATCCATGGTGCCAAGGTTAGGCTATGTATTTGTTGGAACCACAGAGGTGTGCTCTATTATGAGCTATTGAAATCGGATCAGACGATCAATGGGGACCTCTGCCGAAAACAATTGATTCATTTGAAAAAAGCCTTCGCGGAAAAACGACCAGAATATGCGACCAGACACGAATGAATAATTTTTCATCATGACAACACTCGACCACATGTTGTAAGGCCAGTTAAAAACTATTTGGAAAACTGTGGGTGGGAAGTTCTTATAGCTCAGGCCTAGCACCTTCCGATTACCACTTGTTCAGATCAATGCAGAATGCCCTCAGTGGAGTACGCTTCATTTCAAAACAGGGTTTCGGAAATTGGCTCGATGATTTCTTGACCTCCAAGCCGAAGAAGTTCGTTTGGGATGGGATCCACAAACTGCTAGAAAGATGGGCGGCAAACATAATAGCTTCCGATGGGCAATACTTTAAACATTAAATGTATAAAAATTTTTTCACAATAAAGTCTTGATTTTCGAAAAAAACCCGCACGAATTAATTAATGTTTAATCAAAACCGGCTACGCCTTGCACATTGCACATGTAAAAAATCGTCAAATCTGTGACTGCAGTGGCGTTATCAAAGAAACTATTATATTTATGTGTTTTCTTTTATATAAGAAAATTTTTTCCCATAACCATTTTATTAGCATTCAATACATATTTATTTTTTAAAGGAAAAAATTATTTTTTTTGTTTCCAGTCTCGCCCACTGTATATATGACGAAGTTGGTTCTGTGATGTCTTCGGTTGTCATAACCTTGTATTCTATAAACCGTGAGCTGCGCATATTTTTTTTTTTTATTTGAAAGAGGAGAAGCATTCTCTTTGTCAATTACTTAATACATACATTTATGTTAAAACTAATGCAAAGAAATAATTTTTGCAGACAAAATTTCACCATGAAAAATAAAAGCCTCGCACCTTATTAAATCCGAAAATACACGATTCTGTCAAGTAATATGCCGAAATTGCCGAAGTGGTTACACTTGCATTAGTGGTGACAGCATCGACTGTTAACATAACACTTTCTGTTAAATGGCCGAAAGTGAGTTAACTCACTTTGAAAAGTAATATGAATGTTTTGCATTTGATGATGAATATCGTACAACAGAAAAAACTCTTTTAAATGTTGGATTTTTTTAAGTGAAGAATTTGTCTTCTTTTCCCCGCAAAAAGCTTTTTTTATAAAGCTTACTTTCATTTTGGGCACCTTTGACCGCACCCATCACATTGTGCGTCGCTGGTGGTTATGGCTTCGTTGGAGAGAAAAGCAGACTCTTGAAATGTCACAAAATAATCAATATGAAAATATGTAATTAGAGGCAATTTTGCAGAAATTCAATTTGCCATTGTATTAGCGTGCACGCATACATCTCCGATTATTTAAGCAGTTACATTTGTACGTATGTACATTGATATATTAAAAACTGCTTATCGAAAATTCGAAATGAAGTTTATTATGAAAGAAGCGGATACCATAAACTAAAGTTGGCAGTTTTAATGTTGTTCCATTTGCTCTCGTTCATTCGTAGCCAAGTATCCTTCGGGGCCGGATTTCATGTAGATCATAAACATATGTATGTATGTAAGTGCATAGCTGCATAAAGAGTTGTAAATATGCTTGAAGTCA